CTAAGTTACAATATTTCTAGTAATTTCGCTACCCTTATTTTTTTATAATTCTTCTAAACCTTTATAGCAATCAGAATTAAATGATTTAAGAAATACGTATGGTAGAAGTGCATAGTGAAAAACACCAATTAACTCTTATGCCAGTTATATATGGATAACGTAATTTTTCGACAACTTTTGCAAATTAATTTTTCTCGTAACACTTTGGCATAAACAGAATTTTCATAATAATTTTTAATTTATAATTTGTAACATCTAAAATAATTAACGGGGTCTGCTTTTATAGATTAAATTATTTTTATTTCAGGAAGTGAATTAAAATAATTGATTATAATTACTTAAACAATCTAATATAATTAGTAATCGAAAATAACAACAATTGTCCTAGATTTTGTCTTTAGCAAGTTATGGTCACAGTTATCGATAGACTAGATCGCGGATTTTATGCATTCATATATATTATATTATTATATATATTAATTTTATTATAAAAATGATTCATATTGTAATCAATTCTCAATAAAAATTTGATAAGAATCTAACCTTTCGTATTTTATTTATAATAATTTCACATCTAATTTTCTTTATTAAATTTTTATTATACAAATTAATAAGCGAAACACGAAGACTGCGAAGAGATCGGGAAAATCTAAGAACATTGCAACGCAATGATCGCCTTTTCAAGATTATTAGAAGAAAGAACACATTTTTATTTATTTTATATATCTGCATAATCTTCGCATAATCTTCGTATAATCTCTATCTGCATAAAAATCAAACCTGAAATGTATAACATTTTGAATTTCGAAGGCGAAGCATCGACGCGTCGAACCAAAAAATTGCCTCAATACCAGACCGGAAAAATCGTCTTTCAGGCAACTTTTCCGCGGGTTTCGAGGCCACGATGCACCGCGGCGTCGCTTGCATTCGGCCCAGCAGCGTCTCGCGTCCGCGCGAGGCATCGAAGTCGCCGATTCGTCCGCGTACCGGCGAGATTAATATCGCGGCTCGCGAGCCCCTTTTCGATATTCACGCTTACAATTATAGCCGCGGAGATACAGATACCCGCGCTGAATAACCACGAGCCGGGCCTCTATACTCTATATCACGCGTATAAATAATTACTCCGGCGCGCAGCAATTACTATAAGTTATGGCCTAGCCGGCACAATTTGCAATGTCAAGACATAAACACTGCTACCGCTTACATTTGAATACATTAAGCGGGACGGGAGGCTCTGATTGGCCGACAGGGAGTGGCGCAGGACCCGTATCGGTACGTGAGCTACGATCTGGTTGACGATTTTTATTACGGAAACGATCATCTCTCTGGCTCCGGGGCGCGCACCGATGCCTTTTCCGTTACGCTCGCGCATCCCCGCTTTGCCCTTTTATACTATTCCAGTACGCCAGAACCTGATGGACGCCCATTCCAATTCCGTCCTCGATCGCCGGCTAAACTGGACTCGCGATTTCCGATCGATCTTGAAGTATTTACGGCCCCGCGCGACTCGCGATAATACTGCTCCGCGGTCAATTGTTTTATGACAATCGCGGCCGATTCGCGATCCAAGATGGATCGCTTCTCTGCACTGGCTACAATCTATCCTGGCCGAGGTACAGCTATCGATGCATCGGTGGCTCGATCTCGATGCGTCTTCGTTGGTGTTCCGAGGAGGATAGAGCTCGCCGCTGTTTGATTAACCAGTGACTTCGTGGGATCGCGTTCGAGACGAATTCCCCCAATTAAGACGATATTGATGAGAATTTTCTTCGGGCAGAAATTGCTCGAGCTATCGTGAGAAGTTGACTATGGATGAGCCTTGAAGAGGATGCCGGGCGCTGTGGAATTGTTGCCGGGTACCTAAACTTCGGGCGAACGCTGTTGTAACTTTTGCGGCAACTTTCCAGGGTTCTTTCGGATTTGGAGATTTGTTACTTGCTCGTCGCGGCAAATGTCGTTGTTTCAACATGGTCACTGCCGAGCCTATTTTGAAGACATTTGTTCTAGATGTTGACGGGTCTTTTTTTTAAATAAATAAATGATATTAAGTAGAAAATATAATGATAAGCAAGAAATCATAATAAGTAAAAATAATAATAAGTAGAAAATAATAATAAATAAAAGATAATAATATAAATAAAAAATAATAATAATAAGTAAAAAAATAATTAATAGATCCTTTTTGTTTATTGGTAATGAATCTTCGACGAATTAGTCGTGGTGCGCGTCTACAAGATAACTCGTGATTGACAGTCAATACGTTAGGGAA